AGGTTTTCTTCTCCCTGTGGTCTTTTCCCATGCCTTCAGCAGCCCTCCTCAAGGACCCCTGTGAGGCCAGGCAGATATGGCTTGGTAGGGGACCCAGTGAGTCCACAGGGATTTTCCCGCTGCTTCCTCTACCCCTGTATTTTGCTCAGCTGTCCAAATTTACTCAGCTTAGGTAAGGTCAGAATCTTCTTCGGTAATCTAGACCTTCAGGTTCCCCAGTGGGGGTATGTGTTTGGGGGCAGACGATTTCCATTTCCCACTTCCACAGTTTGGGCACTTATAGTATTTGGGGTATCTCAGGGGTCCTGCAGGAGACACAAGAATCCATGGATTCTTGCAGCATTCCTAATGTATTCCTGCAGTCTTTCTGGAGCAAAGTTTCACAATGTGAGCCTCCACACACTGCTCTGTCTGTCCGAGCAGGAGTTGCAATCTATCCTGCCTCCCGTCTGCCATGATCTCTCCTTTGCAACTAGCTTTTAAAATTAATTAAAAAGCTATCTGTTATCCAAGCTATTTTTATAGGCAAACTTAGCTTACGGGCAACTCTCTGACTCGGGCCCTTGCTATGGTGTGTTGAATTTAATGTATCTGCCAATTTTCCTAATTATTTTTAATAAATTATAAGAAACAAACTGAAAGAAACTTTCAGACGTGTGTGTGTGTGTGTATGTGTGTGTGTGTTGTATGTTTCTGTTTGTGGAAGAGAAGGAAGTGGAAATTAGGGAAAGAAAAGGAACAACGAGGGAAAATTTTGCTTCATTCTTTTCCTTTAATTTTTTTTGTTCTTAATTTCTCTTTAATAATTTCTCTCCCTTGCAAGCTTAGAGTGAAAGTTAATATTATGTGTAACCCAGGTGTCTAATACCTGAATTGGTACTAACTACTTAATAGATCTAATTACACAGTCTCTCCTACCAAGGGTTGCTTTAGTATATTTGGGCTGCATCTTAAATGATTCCTGGTTCTAGCCTGTTCTCTGTTGTTTGGTTCCTAACCATGGCTTTAGTTCTTTCTTGGGTCTCTGCATGGTCTGCTCTAGCACTTGATTTAACAATATGGTGGAGGAGCCAGATAGTTTGGTTTCAAATCCTGACTCTGACACTTATCAGCTTTAGGACCTTGGGCATCTCATTTATTCTTTCTGCATTTCAGTCTACTCACTTGTAAAATGGACATAAAACAAATAGCTGCCCTCCAGGGTTATTGTGAGGGTTATGCAATAGATGTCCTGTTCATATCTTGTTAGATTTCTCTTCCATCTTTTTGCACACAGGCTCCAGATGAGCTGTCATACCCTGAGCTCGTATCTGGTGTGTTTTTTGTCAACTCCTTTCTCAGAACCTGCTTTGCAGTCGAGATCTAAAAGTACCTGGGAATTTATGTACCATCCCCTGTTCCCCCAGCCTTAACGAATGACTGCCACTTTAGGAATGTAAATACTCCACCTCCCTTGCTCCACAGGCATGAGACACCTGGGTTGCACCTAACTCAGGTTTATTTTACAATGGCGCTCCTGTGGGATTGAGTTATTAACCCTCCCAAGTGGTTCACACCTTTGCTTGGCCTCCTTCACTTTCTGGTCCCACTGTACCACTCCTATTCCTCCTGGAAATACTTTTTCTTAAATCATTTTCACACAAATCTTTGTCTCAGATTCTGGTTCTGGGAAAGTCGACTTAAAGTAGTTTATTTGAGTTAGTATCTATATAAAATGCTTTGCATATAGTATGTCATATAAATGTTGGCTATTATTCTCCATGTTATTATCATGCTAGTCTAAGACAAGGTAGTTTGGTGAATGTCTCCTTTTCCTCTCTGCCTTATCACTAGAATATATATTTCACTCTATTTAATAATTCATCACGGAGCTGCTAATATAAGGCTGTTGCATACTGGCTTTCTGGAAGATTTGGGGATAGCAGGGTAGGACATACAAATTTAAAAACAAAATGATGAATGTAACTTATTTGAAGAGTCAAGGCAACCCTATTTATTTGTAGAGGACTCTACAAATAGAATCTGGCCTTGCTTCCATTATTAGTGGTCTATGCTTTTCTCTGGGATGCTCAGTGGGGGAAGTTCCTTTAGGTCTTTGTTACCTTGTAAATCCCCATCCTCTTCAGAAAACCCTTCACCACACCCCACAAAATCTCTCTAAAACTTAACTTTGAATATGATCCCTTTCTTTGTGTGGTTGAGGATTTGGATTTATAACCAAATGGCATGTCAGACACTAATTTTATACCTTTTTACAATATATTGAATAAGAAAAAGAAAATAACTTTTAATGGAAGGAATACTTTTGAATTTTAGGACTGCAGCATTAAAAAGTTTGGTCAGCCAGCATTTTATTTTGTAAGCCAACATCTTAATATTCTTTTTGAAGGTACTGGAACAGTTTGCTTTAAGACTGAGACATTAAATGTCAAGCTTGAACCCATATGCTGGGTTGTAAGTGTTCAAATAGCTGTATTATGTGAATTTCTAGAAAACTGGGTTTGCCATGGGAATATTATTATAGTTATAACTATGGGTAGGTTATTGTGGTTGTACCTCTGACCATTAAAACAAAAGAAAAGCAATACAATTTATACTCTAGGGGTAACTGAAGAGGCAAAGGCAGAGATAATTGAAGGATTTCAATTATTTAAAAATAAATCTCTGTTTTCCCCCCATTTTCAGTTATAAATTAATATAATACTTTCTGTTTTCAAATAGACTCTTACATTTATAAAAGATTTCAGTTTAGTCAAATTCTGAATGCTGATGAGTGCTATTTAGCTCAGGTTTTAAAGTACGTGGTATGAAAAAGTTGTGCTGAAATATTGAGCTTTGTAGTGTCTGGGGTTATTCTGGAGTTTCCTACTCACAGCACTGTAAATCTAAGGAGAAAATTAAACTATATAATACTGATATTTCACTCTGACTAAACTCCACCATAAATTTACTAAATGGTAAGTGATATTTACTGTTTGCAGTTGTAATGTTCAGACACAGTATTTGACTTAGTTTATTAGTTTTCTATTGCTGCCATAACAAATTACCACAACTTACAGGCTTAAAACAACACACATGTGTTATCTCATCGTTTCTGTGGATTGGGAGTTCAGGTACAATTTAGCTAGGTTCTCTGCTTAGAGTTTTCCCAGACTACGATCAAAGGATCAGCTGGGCTGTATTTCCTTCTGGAGCTCAGTTTCCTCTTTCAAGCTCCTGTGATTGTTGGCAAAATGCATGCCTCTGAGGTTATACATAGAACTGAAGTCCTCATTTTCTTGCTGACAATTTGCCAGAGTAACTCTCAGCTTCCAGAGGCTGCCCTTTTTGCGCCTATAACATGGCAGTTTACTTCCTCAAGACTAGCCGGGAGAATCTTGTCTTCCAGTCTGCTGGGACTAAGTCTCATACAATGTCACAACCTCGGAAGTGACTATGCTGTCACCTTTGCCACATAATGTAACCTAATCGAGAGAGTGACTATCCTATCTTTGACATATTCATTTGGCTAAAAACAAGTCACAGTTTCTCCACATTGAAGGAGATTTTGCAAAAGCATGCATGACTCTTTGGGGGTCATGTTAGGATGGTACACCATACTTAGTATACCCCAAACCATATAATCTGTTCATATATCACATTAAAGTTGACTAGGGTCAGGTTTTTTCATTTCGTGTCATGGTACGGGGTAAATTGAGATATAAGTAAATAAATATATGATTGCAACATATGAGTCACTGAAACCATTGTTTGTCTTAAATAAAGTGTGCTTTAACTTGAATTTATGTTCTAAGTCTCTAAAATAAATGAGAGGTGAATGTTCTTCCTTCATGACCATGATGAGATTTGTAGTGTTTTTTAGTTAGTACCTGCTGGTGAACTCAGAGCTTCAGATGATTTTGATGGATTATGGGAGTAAACATTTTCACAAAGGATTCGATTTGGAGATTTAAAAATGACACTTGGATAACAAGGAACAAACCACAATCAGAACAGGGATCCCCAATCCCCTGGGCCACAGACTGGTACAGGAACTGGGCCACACAGCAGAAGGCGATCCAGTGATCTTCCTCTGTATTTACAGCTGCTTGCATTACTGCCTGAGCTTCACCTCCTATCAGATCAGCAGTGGCATTAGATTGTCATAGGAGCAGGAACTCTACTGTGAACTGTGCATGCTAGGGATCTTGGTTACATGCTTCTTATAAGAATCTAGTGGCTGATGATCTGTCAGTGTCTCCTATCACCCCCAGATGGGACTGACTAGTTGCAGGAAAACAAGCTCAGGGCTTCCACTGAGTTTACATTATGGTGAGTTGTATAATTCTTTCATTATATATTATAATATAATAATAATAGAAATAACATGCACAATTAAATGTAATGCACTTGAATCATCCTGAAACCACCTCCTCCCTCCTCCCCTAGTCAGTGGAAAAATTGTCTTCTGTGAAACTGGTCCCTGGTGCCGAACAAGTTGGGGACTGCTAAGTTAGAAGGTGTAATAGAAGAAAATGCCCATTTATGATAGTAATAAAAGATGAAATACCTAGGAATAAAATTAACAAGAAATTTACAAGATCTACTTTTAAACAGTTAAAATATTGCTAAAGAACACAAAGAATACTTGGACAAATTGTAAGGCATATTATATTCTTGGATAGGAAGCCTTAGTATTACAAAACTGACATTTCTCTAGTTAATCCATAAATTTAAGCTAACAAAAAAAAACCAGTTTTTTTTTTTTTTTTAATTAGACAAGCAGACTCTAAGATTCATATGGAAAAATCATCAAGGAACAATAGCCTAGAAAACCCTAACAAAGAAATAGAAAGAAAATTTCGGGAGGATTGCTCAGCACGTATTAATATGTATATGTTACATTAAAGCTATATTAATTAAAAGTGTGGTACTAGCATACTAACGGAAAGAACAGAAAGCTATGAAATAGACTCTAATAGCAGGTAGAACTTCAATATAAAAGTAGTATTTCAGGAAGAAACATGGCGTACCGGACGTTGACTGGGAAAATCTACTCCCTGCTGTTCCGCAGGACTTCCACGTTCGCCCTCACCATCGTCGTGGGCGTCCTGTTCTTCAAGCGCGCCTTCGATCAAGGCGCGAACGCCATCTACGACCACATCAACGAGGGGAAGCTGTGGAAACACATCAAGCACAAGTATGAGGACAAGTAGTTCCTTGGAGGCCCCCATCCAGGCCAGAAGGACCAGGTCCACCCAGCAGCTGTTTGCCCAGAGCTGGAGCCTCAGCTTGAAGATGATGCTTAAGTTACTCTTCGTGGACCACCGTTCACCTTTGGCAAGAAACGCTTTACCTTCAAAACAGACTCTTGACCTTCTGCTGTGTTTGAAGTATGTTTAGTCAGCATGATGAGGAAATAAATGTGAATTGCCCTTGAAAAAAAAAAAAAAAAAAAAAAAGTAGTATTTCAAATCATTGGTGAAAAATGCTTTATTCAATAAACTGTTAAGAGACAACTCAGCTTTTTGAAAAAGCTGAGTGGCTCCTATCTCCTCCCAGTAAATCCAGATTTGTCAAAGGTGTAATACCAAAATATTAAACCACATAGTACCAGAAGAAATCATGAGAGATGATTTTATAAACCTGGTATGCCTTTCTATAAATGACACAAAACCTCTGAAATCCATTAAAAATGATTAAATTCAATTTTAGGAAATTAAAAAAATAAAAGACACAATAATAATAGAAAATGACAAAGTCAGAAAAACATTGGAAATATATTATTAAAAAGTGACACATTTAAAAATATATAAACTATCCTACAAATCAATGAACAAAAAGACTATGGACTAACAAAATGAAGAAATGTTATGAAAAAAGATAAAAATGATTCAGATAAGAATATTTAATTCACAATAAGAAAAAGACAACCATAAATAATAATAAGAATATACCACTTTTTCACTATATTAAGTGGCAAAGATGAAAAGTTTGCTAAAGCGAGACATATGGAAACACACTCTCATACATTACGGGTGGGAGTATAAACCGACGAAAATTCTTAACAGCAATATCTATCTAACTATATCTAAGAATCATATAACCTTTGATCTTGCTATATATTTCTTATGTATTGATTCTGCAGTTTACTTATACATGTGCAAAATGAATAGATACAAAAATATTAATTTATCATAGAAACATTTGGAAGCAACACAAATGTCTTTTAATGGAATATTTGTTAAATAAAAATTGGTTTGTGAGAATAGGAAGAGCTAACTTTTTTGTGTTTATGTGCTAAGCATTTACTAGGCTCTTTACATATTAACATAATCTAACTCCCACAACAACTGTATGAGGTAGGAGTCATTAATATTTTCATTTACAAAAGGGGAAACTGAGAAACAGAGAGCACAACTCACTTGCTCCTAATAATTAGTGGAGCTGGGACTGAAACTCATTTAATCATACTCCAGAGCTGACATATTATTTCACCAGGCCCCCATGCCCGTGGAATTCTAGGTGGGTATAAAAAAGAAAGAATTCACTCTGTATGTACAATACTGATAATCTAGATTATATAGAAATACATATATGTATTTTTAAGATATACATTTTAGGAGAAAACTTTGAGGAATATAATAGTGTAGTATATTACCATTGTTGTAGAAAAAGAAAATACATAAATATTTGGAAATACATAGTTTATCTTCATAGATTCAAAAAAGAAAAAAAAAGCACCAGTTTTTATATTATGGGAGAGGAACTGAGTGTCTCGGAAAGAGGAAGATTTACTATTTATGTTGATCATTTTGTGTATTTTGAATATTGTCCTATGTACATATACTCAAAGAAAGGAAGTTAAATAACAGTAGCAAAACCAGTAAACTCAGGGAATAGTATTTTTCAAGAGCCTGGTTTTTACAGTATGTGTATTAATCCATTTTCACACTGCTATAAAGAAATACCCGAGACTGGGTAATTTATAAAGAAAGAGGTTTAATTGACTCACAGCTCTGCATGGCTGGGGAGGCCTCAGGAAATTTACAATCATGGCAGAAGATGAAGGAGAAGAAAGAAGCCGGGCGCGGTGGCTCAAGCCTGTAATCCCAGCACTTTGGGAGGCCGAGGCGGGTGGATCACGAGGTCAAGAGATCGAGACCATCCTGGCCAACATGGTGAA